ATATATACAGGTGTCAGAGCAATCTTTTTCTAAAAAAAACTCTTAAGAAAACACAATTGTTTTGAAAAAAAAAATATGTAATTGTTAATTGCAAATTATATATATTTTCTTCGAAACAATTATGTGTTTTCTTTACACCAACTAATTCCTCTCATTATTTTGTACATAAAAGTATTAAGCTAAGATAATCGAAAAATGAATATTTTACTAGATACTTTATGGTTTATGTAAAATTAAGAGATTATTTCAAGCCTCATAATTCGAAAAGTACTCGATGTAAAAATACTTATTATAGTGTTTTATAAAGCTCTCGAGATAAGAGCTACAAGAGCTTTTTTTGGGAAGAGATTGCCCTGACACCCTGTATACATATATATATATATATATATTTCAGGGATTCTCTGTCACGAGATTATAGTTTTCCTTTCATCTTCTCGGAGTTTGTGCTAGAACATTAGAGATAGCGATATCGCAGTGTGTCTTCGGAGACAAACTTTGATAGATATATGATCGCTTTATCGATCACGTGGCTTTTTTAAATTTACGACACCGGAATGAGAGTTGTACAACGATTCGCTCCGTATTTTAGAATGGATACTTTAACAAAAAAAAAGCGTTCCGTATTTTAGAATTAATACTTTAACAAGAAAAAAGCGCAGTTACATTTAACTAGATCATGCATTGATTAATTCAGATATGGGGATATATAATACTGTTAATTAATTAGTTAACATTTACATGAAAGATATCTCAGATGTTTTATGATAAATTCATTCGCGCATGACAGAACTGTCATCTATTTTTGCACGAATTTTCAGATAGGAAAACGATATCAGTCTAATGATAAATGCATCGTACTCGCGCTACATCCGTAAGTGTATTCGACACAAGGACAAACGTTGTTAATTGCACGTATGCATAATATATCACCTATTATATAACGTCACGTAGCTGTTTTTACATTGCAAATTCAAATTTGTACAAACATTATCGACATATATTGATATTTTTTTTTCGAGATGTTGCAACGAGATACATAAATGGGAAAAAAATCATAAAAACCAAAGAGTAGAAAAAGTGCGCATTAAATTTAAGAGAAGATAAATATGTAGCAGGTAATCCGATAATTTATATGCATATGCTCTTGTAATATTTTCTAACGACGAGAAACAAGACACATGTACAATCGATTACGTTATCGTCGTATATCAATCGACACGTGACGTCAATGATAAATAGTGCAATATCGTGATGCAATAATTTTCAGGAGCACTTTGTAAATCGATGATATATTTAATTTTGATCTGAAATTGTTCGATAAGAGAACGCATCATATTCTCGTTGTTTTTGCGAGTTTGTCAAGCTTGACAAATTCATTCGATCGAAAAAGTAAATTTTAAATCAAATTCTAAATCAAAAAATTTTTAATCAAAGTACTATAAAATCCCTTAAAATTCTAATTAGACAAACAAACTTTATGTAAATTTTTCTATTTTAATCGCGGTTATGAAAGGATGATTCACGCAATGCAAAGAGTAAGTCAAGAAGCTGTGTTTTTTTCATTCGACGCCATTTAAATCCTGTGGTAAAATTTCCAGCAAACATTCACGCAATTATCGCACGTTTCCATCGAATCGTATGTGAATCTTTCGTATCAACATACATGTTTTTAAGTCCGGTAAACATAAATGATTAATACCGCTACTGCGCAATTAACGATTATATATTTTCCTGATAGTTGTTTGGCTCGCATCATTCTTTAATTGAACCTATAAATCAATTGTAACATTTATGTTTTGAATATTTTATAAGAATAATGAATAAGATTTGCAACGGGACAAGATCAAGAAACGATCAATAAACATTGCAATTCATATAACGTAAATATCGGGGAAATACTCCTTTTAATTTGAGTATAAATATAAAGCTTACATGTTGTGTGAAAACGTATAATGTACAATGACATGTGCAATATAAACGTCAAGTATTATTAATGAATCTGATATTTAAAGTAAATACAAGATGCAATTGCTTACTCGAGCGTTATCATTGATTTATTTCAGTTTTGCTATTTTTGGCAAGTTAACTGATAGTACAATTCATTCGAGAATCGACAAACACGAAAATAATATTGTGCGACGTACATGTATGATGTGCATTTAATAACAATGAATAATCTTCGGTTAATTATTATAATACATTCCGTTCATATGTGCAAAAGTGCGTAAAATCTTCTGCGTAAATAACTCTCTTTTCTGTGTATTATATTATATATTCTTTGTATCTCCTCATTATTTGTTAATCGCGACGAATGCTATAAAACGAAATTTTAGATAAGATGTCTTAAGAAGTGATACCAGGGAATAGTATGATTGAGATTCAGTCTTGGGATGGAAGGCATCGATTATTCAAAGTGCATACAGAAGATTTAGCAAAGCAAATGAAGATGTTAATTTACTAATCAAAAGTGCTAATTTATCGAAATACAATATTTAGCTGAATACACATATAATTCGGTATCGTTGGCACTTATGGTGCCTATCGTTGTAATCTATCGCGACAACAATCGAATCAAGAGAGCCGTGATCATGGGATGTCTTCTCGAGATGCAAAGATTGCGCAACAAGATGAACGCGAATGGAAATGCGAAATCAGGCGTTAACACGGGTCGTCACGCACTGACATATGCGTACGCGGGTTGTAACGCATGTTGTGTCAATCGGAATGGGACAAGACACGACGAAATGATATCATGCAGAATAATGAATAATTCGCACCAGATTTCATCGAAGACGATTTGATGACATCTGATCGATGAATTTAGAATATGATTCTTCTTTTCGAAGATAGCGATACCCTTTACATGACCGATGCAATCCGTGAGTGCACCCTTCATCGATGTCGAGGATTCGAAACGTCCGAGCTGAAATATGTTTTTTTCTCTATGCCCTTATTTCCAATATATGTCTGAAGCTACGCGTGATAGAGATCACTTTGCTGTATATCTACAATCAGAGTGGGGGATCTCGATGTGTCTTAGTAACTATATAAGCTTTGTGATTTCTCGTTTCACTTTGGTAGTTCCCCAATTCGGGCGAACACTTCACAAGGAAGCTTGGCAACCCACAGTTCGTAAGTTACTTGTTTCACAAAATCGTTATTATTAATTTTAAGAGTATCATGTAGAGTAGATATGTTAGTGAATGATGAAATTAACGAAATATTAGGTGTAATTGAATCTTTTATATACATATCTCATTATTTGAACAAGAACCCTAACTAAAAATATTAATTTGTAAAATATAATGCTGAGAAAATTTTATAATTATTCACTATTTTATTCATTATTTTATTCAGAACTTTTTTATTCATTATCTTATTCAGAATTTTTTATATATTTTTTGTAATATGTTTTTTTCTTTATCATGATTATGATGAAAATATTAATATCTAATTTATTTGTCATAAGATCTAATCTATTTGTCATTAAATCTAATTTATTTATCATTAAATGTAATTTATTTCTCATTAAATGTAATTTCTTTATCATAAAACATTATGACAAATATAAATTAGAATATAGAAGTTATTATCTGAAATTTATATCTCTCACATAAGTCTCTAAATATTTAAATCCTTAATTAATATTTCATTTTTCTCTTAAAATAAAGAGATACAAATTTTTTGAATCTTAAATCCCAATGCACATACAATTTATATTAGACTTTGGAGAATAAAGCATGATCGAGACCACTAATATATTGAAGTGCAAACACTCTTTTTCAATGAAATTGTTTTTACTGGTAAAATAAATAAATGGTAAAGGAGACGCCAAGCCTGTTGACCAATTCGAAAATATTGACAGTATGTATTATCCTAGCTACTTGTAGCTTCGGAGGCCGCAATCGAAGGCTTCATTTGCATTGATAATTTGTGACGAGGTAAAATAATCTGCTCCATTTAGCATAAAAATCTAAAAATGGTCTGGTAAACATTGTTGCAGCGCCGAAGAATCACGTCATGTGACTCTGGGGCGACGATGCGGCGGAGACACTTTATTTCTTTTGTAACCGGTTGAAACTGCTGTCTCAGTTTATTCGTTTACGTTTACGTAACCGGTTGAAACTGCTTTCGAGGATCTTAATATCGTTTGCGCGCTGTCCAAGGGATGGACAATCATTCGTTTGATGAATCGCGTTCGTTTGATGCACGCATGTATATACGCGGAGAAATTATTACAATAAAAGTTGCAATAAAATTTCCGTGGAACACACTAACATATAAGAAAAATCACAACGTTTATATTCAATAATAATTATTAATATACATATTACAAAAAATATTGTAATTATTTAAATATATATTTTTTGATACAAATGTATAATAAAGAATAAAACAAATGTAAATTTACAATTTCTATAATATATAAATATCTTAATATCGTTATTTTCCAACCTTACAATAAATATTTCAAAAGGGAATATATTTTCATGTAATTTATTCTGTAAATTTTTTTTCGTGATTAATGATACTCGTGTAACATGTTCACGCGTATTATTTTTCATTTCTCTTTCAGCTTGATTTTACATTTTCTCGTAAAATCTTTGATCATATAAATATTGAGTTTCAATATTTTTATATCGATCTTTGAACCTTCTCTATCAAGGAATAATCCTTGTTCCAATCACGATAATGAGGTCGATATATATTTATGGCTATTATAGTTTACTTCTCAATAAACGTCAATTATGTATATTAGTATTGCATAATTTTTAAATACATCGCTATTAGTTGGTTATGCAAATAAATTTGTTTGAAAAATTTTCACGTCTCACGAATTCATACTCGCAGAAGACTACGTTTATTCTTGCACGTATATCACTCATTTGCCCCTCCAAGTGTAATTTACAGTTGAAATCATACGTACAGTGGTCACTCTACCACTGAAGAGTATATTGGTTCATATTAGTGGGAGGTGGCAGGTAGCTCTCTTTTAACGTTTCAATGCTCAGACACTCATTTCGTCCGCAAGCATCGTAGGTCCAGCATCATTAAATGCCGACTTGCGACTCGTACTTGATACAACGATAAAACTAGTCAGAATCAAAATCTCGAGCTCACGCGATTTTCGTGGAGTGCATCTTGCTGAATCGTCGATGTAGGCTCGAATCCCGGGTATTCGCCTGTCAAACTATTGTCCATGTTGTCACATTTGTGCCATATTCAACACATATTTGGAGTTGGCGCGTATATTTGCCAGCAAGCTACGTCGCTCGATAATTTCCGTAAAGACGACACGCAGAAAGCAAACGTGCGCTATGATACATTGCTGAAGACACCGAGATGTTGGCGATCGGTCCTAGTAAGTTTCCTCGAGAGATAGTTGAATGAGATAAGATATTGTTCTACGCACGAAACGCAGCGGAAATTCGCGAGAATTGTGATTGTAATACGTATCGCGGATTCAGCATTCACGAAAGGAATCATCTTGCGAGGGATTTAAATCGTTAAACACACCGAGAAAAACCGTTTTCGAGATAGAAAACGTTCTTCGCAGAAAAGCATTTTGTGCACCACATGCATTTACAGAAAGAATACACGCGCAGGATTTTATTAAGAAACGCCGTATCAAAGTAAGTCGAAAGCACTCGAAGAGCAAATGCATCAATCTGTAACATCGAATTGTAAATTTCCACTATATCTATTCTAATCTTTATTTTGCGTCATCGTCTAACGTGCATGATATCATGATTTCCAACATTCTACGCATTTTTTTGCAACTTCAAAACATCATTGGCAATGTTAGATCGATTATGATATTTTCGATATTGAAGTTAGCAGTAATTACAAATCATTTGACCTTTCAGTAAAGAACCCTTTAACAAGCGCGCCAATTCGAGCTCTCTATAGAATGACACGACCTCGTATCCTCTTCGCGTATCATTAGCATCGTCTCTTCAACATCACATGCGATCGTCGCTAAGGCGCGTGTACGAAATTGTTTTATTTGTGTTTTTATTAAGACAGACGTTTGTACAAGTGTTAAGTCATAGAAACATTTTCACCATTAATATTACAGGAAATAACGTATTTCCCGATTTTATTTCTAACACTGCAAAACATGGAAATGGAAAAAGCCTTACCTATTGAAAAAATAAAATGCGTATTATTTCATTAAATCCAGAAAAGGATCTACAATCGAAAGATCTACAGATGGATCGATGGCGATTAATTTATCGTTATTATTTCTCAAGATATTTGCAATTATGAAATTTACATTCCATTTCAATGACGTGCATAAATATTGATATAACATTTAACATTTAACTCGTTAATGAACAATGCTGATAATGTTAACTCGGACATTGTTTATGTAATGTTATAATTGACCTTTCTTACGATTTTATAATTAGTATTGACTGTTTAAATATTCAAAATCTTCAACTACATTTTGACTTTCACATTGCAATAACAATTAAAAAATAAATTAAAAAATAAAATGCTTAATAAAGTTGAAGTAATAGTGTAAAAATAATATTTAATAGAATAATTGTCACATTTTACATATATGTGTTTAATCGCTTGTAAATACAACATAAAAACTATCGCAATTTTATGTTCGCAATCATTTATAATTGCAATTTATATTTATATCTATGATATAATATATTTTTCATGATAAATTTTTTTAACTTGAGTGTGTTTATTCAACAAAAATATAATGCATATTGAGGTATAAATATTTTTAGAATTATATGTAAGATTAAAAAAGTTTTTTCACAAACTATATTTTAAATAGCCAAATGGATAATAAAACTAAATTTTTCTATTGATAGAATCTTATTTTGAGGTTTAAGTAAATGATGTATGATGCAAGAAAATAGAAAGTTGCAAGAAGTAATGACATTTATTCTCTCGATATTTGTAAAAAAAAATTAACCGCTAACTGCAAGTTAGCTAAGAATCTGTCTTAAAGTTCGACGGATGTACGTTTTTGCATAAATGTTTTTGCATTTAAATATAAATTATGCATCTCGATTGTGTCGACACATTCCACTTCATGCCATTCTCTTAATAGTTGTACATATATAATAATTTTTTTGCAGTCAATCAATTACAAAAGAATAATTTTCAGAGAATTTCTTTTATTTACTGAATATTAGATACTTTATTGAAAAATAGAGCCACTTTCATAATTTAGAAGTTTTAAAATTTCCGGATGGAACAAGTGTGCTCAAGTTCACAAATTTAATCGTAAATGAACCGATTTTGTGTCGCGTCGTAAAGGGACGCGCGTGATATTCGTTCATTAGCGAGTATTTGGTACAGGATGTCGTGTCGTTTTCTAGAGTGGTGTTAAACCGCGAAACGTCCCCCTCTCAATTATATCGTTAAGCTTCTCTTCTTTTCAGTACCGGCGATAAATGACCAGGCAAGCTTCTTAATAAAGTCCTCTAAATGCAATATTATTAAATATATAGATTGTTGAATAATTGTTAGTCGTATTTATTTATCGTATTTATTTATAGCGTATAATATAACCAGAAAATAATAAAAATATATCAATAAATTATATATATATATATATATATATATATATAATATTATATATAAATATATATATATATATATGTATATATATATATATATATATATATATATTATATACATAAAAATATATATATCATATATTATATATAAAATATATATATACATATAAAATTAAATTACACTATATATACACAATTATCAACAAATATATTACGTATCTGACATATTATTTCTACTCTTCATACTTGAAAATTTATTATTTTTAATATATAAAACATAAAAAAAATATATGCATCAGGTTTTATTAAACCTCCGAGATAAATCGATAATAACAGAGGGTAAATTGTCTCTCGAGTGGTGAAATACTTCCCTTGAGAAACTACCCTTCAACAAGACCGTGTGGCCTAACGGATAAGGCGTCGGACTTCGGATCCGAAGATTGCAGGTTCGAGTCCTGTCACGGTCGGAGATTCTTTTTTTGTTTTCAAATTGAATCATGACTACTGCATAATCTATCCTTGAAATGATTCAGATGACAGATATGTAACTAATTAATTATTTTTCATCATTCTTCTTCTATGTAAATAAAAAATTAAAGTACTCTGTTTTTTAAAATAATTATTTTATTTTGTTGTGTTCTTATAGTATTAGTATTATGTTGCTTCAGAGAAATTGCTACTTCATTCTTGCTATTCACGACGATAATTTGTTTAAGCTTATAATATTTTACTTGTGTGTGTGTGTGTCTGCGTGTATGTGCTACGATTACTTCGTCGATATAGTTAATGATTAGTAACGTCGATAGCTAATGATACCGAGCGAGAATTAGAACGCGAAAGATATTACGTACAATGATTTGTAAGCTGTTCATAATAGAATTGTGGGAACTAGTAATAATTAAAATGATCGCGAAACACAGTATAAATGTAAAATACGTTCAATGTTTTTCCCGAGTATATCAAGGATCCCGAAGTTACGCTTCGAAGGTGATAATCACGATTAATATGCCCGATGTAATAATACATTGTTCGATTATCACAGAGTAAAAAGTAACGCAAATATAAATTATATAATACGCGGATTTTATATATCTCATATTTCAAACGTACAAAAATATAGAGGGAAAAATGTACTTAATAAGTTTTAAAAAAAATATTATTTAATGTATTATTTTTTAAACGCGCAGCGATATATATTTGATAATATTGGCCTTAAAAATAATGGGGAAAAAGACTATCTGTGTGTGTGCGCAAAATGAAAAGGCAGCCAATAATCTTGAGACGTATGCTAGGTTATTATTCGGATCTCAACCCAGGTAGCACACGTTCGTTTTATACGAACGTTTCTTAATCGTATCCAATGTTTTTTAATCATAAAAGAATAATAAGAAACGTTTTTACCAGTTAGTTAAAGAAATTTTTCACGTTTCTATAAACAAAATAAAAATTAATTTTTAATTAATTTCAAATTATATGTACATATATACGTACATATTCATATACATATATGTATAATTATTACGAAAACTTTATTAATTTCTATTTATAAATATATAAATAAGATTACTAAGAAGTATTTCATTGGTCTCCAGTAAAAACGCTTATTTTTTGTTACTTTATCTTATATCTTACTAATTATAGTCAGTGGAAGTAAAATTTCACTATAAAATCAGTAATCGCTAATTGGTTCATTTACTGCTACGGTAAGTTATTTTTTTCGTACTTAAGATTTAGATCATAAGCACTATATAGCTTGCAAAAGACGACAGGTAAAATTAAAAATATTACTTCGATTTAATTTCTGATACAATCTCACAGAGGAACTTCAGATATTAAATCGATTTTGTAAGTCAGACAAGTAAATGTGTGGTTAAAAGAACGAAAATGATCCGTTCATTATCTATTTAAGTAAAATAAATTATTATCTATTTAAGATTCATGTTAAATATGCATGTAAATATAAATAAAATTTTTAATTTTATACAAGGTAGATAATCTGATTAAAACAGTTAATGTTATTAATTCTTTCAGTGAAATATTATTGATTTACAGTGCTATAATAATTGATAACTGCTGTATCAGTGACTCAATTTACTATTTTTCATTGATAAAATACTGATTCACTTTTAAAGAGTGTATGAATGGATTTATTTTATTAATTCCATGAGAAAACAAACGTTTAACATGAAAAAAACGTGTTTTAAACACATATCAAAAACGTTTAACATATTTTAAACGTTTTTTAAACGTTTTTTTATCAGAAAAAAACATATCTTTCAACGTTATTGAGATCGACATTTTAACCAATCAGAAACATTTTCAATAGTCGGTTATAAAACGCTTGGAAGAAACATTCGTGAGACCTTTTTGAAACAAATATGTGCTACCTGGGAAGGCTCTGTTCCACTATTAATCCAATTACTGGCTAATCTCGCTCGAATTCGCATTAACGACAACACGCGATAGCGTTTCATCGCGAAATTATAGGTTCATACGCGAGGAAATGTCAATCCACTGTGCCGAACTAACGACTAGTACTTTAGGAATATTGCATCACACATACATTCGACGTGCTAGATGAATTCATATAATTTCATCCGCGCTTCTCCGATCTCTGTGATCAAGTGAGTGAATCGTTGAACGGTGTAGAAACGATAAAAACGAAATTTTGATACAGACACAATCGATGCAATGTATGACAAAATCGAACTTTATCACTTCTCCTTAACAAGTTCCATTCGATCTGTTTCAGTTTACGAGCGAGCGCAAAACCCAGCCCCGCCGACGAGCAGCAGATCAGCGCAGATTCAACAGGAAGACTTCGCCCAGACTTACCGATCCGTAACAATTACACCAGCTTGATAGTCGACCGAGTATCCTGTCGAACGCGAGAGCTCGATATCTGATTTTGTTAACCAAGGCAGCTTCACCCACACGCGCCGACATCGTAGAATGGTAGAAGGTGAACCCGACACAAAGCGCAGTATTAGTAAGTATAGCTCTCTTTCCCTTACTAAAATTCTTTCGGTCACTTTTTCACAAATTTCAATTTTTATATCGCAGAGTGTGATGTAAAAGACGAGCGCCTAAACGGTTGCGGTTCCAAGGACCTCGAACTTGCCCGTAAGTTGTAAATCCTAAAGATCATGTATTTTTATAATCATAAGCTGAGTTCGCGATTTATAAATTAATAAATTAATAATATATATATATATATATATATATATAATAATATATATAAAATTATATTAATAATATAATATTAATTTAAAATTTATATAGTTAAAATAATATTAAAATAAATTAATAAATTTATAAAATAAATTAATATTAAAATAATAATAATAATATTAATAATATATATAAAATATATATATATATTAATATTTTATATATATTATTAATTATATTATTATATTATTAATTATATTATTTATTATCTGCATTGGAATTATAGGTATCGGATTAAAAGGCAAGACTCTCGATCCAGAGAAGGGATCCTATGTTCAAGCTGATTTCGAGAAAGCCATCGAATTAAGCGGTGAGTTTATTCCGACGATTAAAGACATTAATGGTTGTTTAAAAAAATCTTCTTATCATTACTTATTATATCTCTTTATAGAATATGGCAAGTTTCATTACTTCCTGCTCGCGGTATGCGGCTTCGTCAGCACGAGCGAGGAGATGGACGTGATTTCCATGTCCTTCATCCTGCCGAGTGCACAATGTGATCTGAAGCTCAACACCCAAGCGAAGGGATGGCTCAACTCGATTATTTTCATCGGGATGATGGCCGGGGCGTACGCATGGGGTTCCGTAGCGGACGCTCTCGGTCGTCGGAAAGTCCTGGTCGCCATCTCATTCATGAACGCCCTGTGCATCGTCGCTTCTAGTTTCAGCCAAACGTACGAACTCTTCATGTTGTTCCGTTTCCTGAACGGTGCGGCGTAAGTATCAAAAGTCCACGACGCGATGACAATCGTTAGCTAGCACGACGTAGCTAGATCTGATCACGCAGTGATCTCTCAGCAATGAAAAGATTAAATAATTTAGTAACGTTCTAGGCTGGGAGGAAGCGGACCGGTCATCTGGTCGTACTTTGCTGAATTTCAGCCAAAGTCCAAACGCGGCTCCATGCTGTCTTTCATGGCGGCATTCTGGACGTTGGGAAATCTTTTCGTGGCCGGTAAGTTTTATATAATTATATTCAATATTAATTTAATTAAATATTAATTTAATTAAATATTAATTTAATTATATATTAATAATTTAATGTTAAATAATATTGTCTTTCATATATATACATTGATTTATCTGCTTTGCATTCATAGGTTTGGCGTGGTTGATCATTCCTAGAGAGATGGGTTTCACGAGTCCAACGTTCACCTACAATTCTTGGCGAATCTTCCTGTTGATCTGCGCTGTTCCGTCGTTCGTCGTGACGGGGCTGCTTTTGTTACTTCCCGAATCTCCCAAGTATCTCTTGTCCTCCGGAAAGTATGAGGAGGCGCTCGAGATTTTTCGCAAAATATATGCCATTAATACCGGCAAACCACAGGATACCTACATGGTAATTAGGCGATTTAATGTATAATTGCATGAAGATAGTAAAATCAATTTTTATCGAATCCATGCATAAAATATTTGTAACGTAATTTTTCACATTTTTACAGGTAAGAGAACTGATTCTTGATGACTTTCAAGAATCGAATCCGGTGAAAGACGAAATCGAGGAAAAGAGCAAGTGCAAAACTATGCTGAGTGACATTGTGGAGAATAGCAGACAGCTATTTGTAACGCCTATTCTTCGCTTCACGATAATATCGATCGTTATTAATTTCACTTTTCATATCGGTTATTACGGTCTCATGATGTGGTTCCCGGAACTGTTCAATCGTTTCGACGAATTTCATCGTGATCAACCGGGCGTAGTAGCTTCGATATGCCAGGTCACCGACTATGTCGTTAATAAGGGTTCACATAGCATCGAGAACGTTTGCTCCGATAAAATCGGAACGTCCGTCTTTATGGAATCCCTTATCACGGTGGCATCCGCTATACCTGCCAATATCATCGCTGTCCTGGGGATGGATCGCCTTGGACGTAAATTTTTTCTAGGTATTTAAAAAATATATAGATACAATAAGAATATTATTTTTATTTATATAAATTTATTATATAATTTTATTATATAATAATTTTATATAATTTTATTATATAATTATTTTATTATATAATAATTTTATATAATTTCATTATATAATTTTTATTGCGAAAAAAGTACGATATTTTATATTGAGTATTTTTTAGATATTTGTTTTATATTATCATATATTAATGAATATAACAATCTATGTACTTCTTTGCAGTGTTTAGTACATTCTCATCGGGACTTTGCTCGATCGGTTTATATTTCGTATACGACAAGTATCAGAATTTGATCGTATCAGCAATCTTTAGCGGAGCAATAAGTTGCGGTAATGCGGCTCTGGATTGTCTCATTACTGAGGTATTCCCTACGCAACTGCGTGCAACCGGAATCGCCATATCAATGGTCGCCGCTCGCCTTGGCGGGATAATTGGTAATATTGTTATAGCCCAACTCTTGGACATGTATTGTCCGGCACCGACTTTTATAGTGGCTGCTCTCCTGATTGGTAAATACGTCTATATATACATTTCCTTTTATATTAATTTCTTATTTTTAAATTTTCTAATTCTACATACTTTATTTTTCGCAGGAGGAGGCTTACTGTGTTTATTCTTACCAAACACAACACGCGAACCACTTTCCTGACCCTAGTAGAAGTATATCCATCAGTCTACAATCATTTATTTCTTTCGAGTACAAAAGCGTCGCATTGAATTTTAAAGGATCTTGACGATTAAATTATAGTATTATATAAAATAAAAATATCGCGAAAATATTCTCATTTTTTGAAGTGTTGAAAATCTCAGAATCTCTATTGTTTGTAATTACTCTTATTAGATAAAAAAATTTTTTTAAGCGGAACAATAGCAGTGAAATAGTAAAATATGAGCGTAGCATCTAAGATGCTAATCAGTATAAGAAAGATGTAACAGAATTAGATTTTAGTAGAATTTTATATATATATATATATAAATATATATTATATAATCATATTGAATTTAAAGTAATTAAAATATGAATTAAATGATATATAATGAACTAATATATCATATAATTTTTGTGTCCATCTATATACACGAAGAAAATTGTATAAATTACATGAAAAATGCATTCTCTTTTACATTTTTTTGTAAAGCTGTAATGTAATATTAGGATATTTTTACTATAAAAATGGTGAATTATACATCTTCGTTTGTGCATTAAAATATTTGAACAATTACAATACTTTGTAAGAAAACACAATACATGTATAATATTAAATAAAAATATCGTGATTTGTTTCACAATTAGGAAAATTATAATTTTTATTTTCTCCGTGTATATATTGAAGATATTTATATAAAAATTCAGTAAGCAATATAAATTTACCTATTTAATTGTGATAGCACATTTGATATATATTGAGCATGTTTAAAGTAATTTAAAAGCAAACATGAAAGAAAAAACGAGATATCCTTTGAGAAATATGTATGCTTTTTATATACTTCCCTAATTTTCTTTTTTTATATCATAAGTGAAAACTATAGCAAATATATACATACAGTGCAATTAAATACACCTAGAGCATATTGCTCTTTAGAATAGGAAGTAAATAAAAAGACAATATATGAAGTAAAATTCTTCATTTTTTTCAATTATTTAACGTGTCCACATAAAGTATGAAATTATTCCCTCATCATTTTCTCCTTTTGTCTAGCAAGCTTTTTCTTGCTAAGCTTCTTCTTTGATGGCTCTTCTTCCGTGGCTTTCGCAACAACATCCTCCTTCTCTGTTAATATCACTTCAATGTGACAAGGCGAGCTCATGTAAGCTATAAATATTACAAATCATAACAATAATATGCATTTCGATGGAATAAATTTTTTTATGTAAGGCACTTACGATTTATACGACCATGAGCTCTATATGTCCTTCTGCGAAGGCAAGGCGCATGATTGACCTGAATATGCTCAACTACAAGACGATCTACATCAAGTCCCTTATAATCTGCATTACTTTCTGCATTTTTCAGAAGCTGCAGCAGAAACTCTGCAGACTTTTTAGGCCAACGACCTAAAATAATAACAAAACTGCTATAAATATATTTTAAATTTACTTTCTGATAGCTCAAGCACTTGGTCAATTATATATATTGACCTAAAAATAATGTACACAGAAACTAGATACCTTGCGTAGTGCCAAATTGTTTGGCTTGCGCACATCTACCAACACCACCATTGAACCTACGAAAAGGAACACACTCTTTATGTTCAACGACATTTTTCAGGTATTTCTGCGCTCTTCGCAGAGCCATATTTTTGATAGCACGAGCTGTCTCATGAGTGTTCTGCAACACAAGAGAGAAATATCGGCTGTAAACACAGATCTTTCTTGAGAGGTTATGTTCCTTCAAAAAGACCAGGAGAAAAATATTTACCTTAAAGTGCACGCGAAGATTGGAACCGCGTGCCTTGCACGACTTGGTCTGATTGACCGGTTCGTGGGAGTAACGACCCATTGCGTCCTGAAATCACAGACAAATCGATCACAATTCGAGATAGCTCTCCGCGACAAGTATGACGATCAGCAGCGATCCGCCATGCCGTATTTCTCTCGTGATTTTGCGTCAATTATCGCGAATGGACGCTACATTTATCACGCCTAGCTTGCAGTTCGAAACTTTCTGTTTGAGAAATTATGTTTCGCAGGACGCGTATTTCAACGCTGAGCTAGATGCGGACAGATTCGAGAAACATGACATCGCCGGCCGATACGTACCTTTCGACACCACGATTTTGAAGGAAAAGTCGTCTCTCGAAATTAGAGAGAGTGGCGTCCGACTTCCTGTACGCAGAGAGAAGACTGAGAGATGTCATGGCCTGCTTTTAGGTGATCCCTGAAAGCGATACTCCCTCTATGAACATTGAAAACGTAGACGTGAACTACAAAGCCAAAGTCCATGAATGTTCTCAGAGGGTAATATATAACGTGCACAATTTCTGGTTTTGTTCCGTGATATGTGCACGAAATGCCGGTATCATTAGTGCTATATAACAAGATACTTATGTATGTAAATTGATATTAAATAAATTATTCGATCGCAAAAGATACTGTAATATTCAAAGATGAAATCAATATTTTTCTATATTCATTGTCATATTTATATTTTTTTATTTACAAAACACAAAATGCCTGCTGTGGAATTAAAACATTTTTAACCGTATTTCTATAAATCTTCTTAATTAGCAGTAAACTTATCTTTGATATTTATCAATCATTTTTTTAATTATTGATTCTTCTGAAGTATTTTATAATTAAGACTCGAAAAATATAGATGTTGCAAAATATTTTAAGTCTCTTCCTTTATATAAAATATAAAGAATTCATATATTCCATTTTAATACAGCTAACATTATTTATATATATTTTTATTATAATTTTTTTTCATACCAACATAATATTTTTATGCTTAATATAATATTTTTATGCATAATATTTTTATGCTTAATATAATATTTTTATGCATAATATTTTTATGCTAAATACATATTACAAAATATATGACAAAATATAATACAAATTTAATATAAAATATAATTCGAAATTTAATACAAAATAATTTATTACACGGAAATGTTCTAAATATACGTATAATATAAAATTTACTAAAAATTTTTACATAGTCCAGACGAGACTGATCAGCGAAGATTAATTAAGCGACATTTATTATTATAATAATAGATATGCGATAATAGAATTTAATAAATTTTATATGTATAACGTAAATAATCACGATCAAAAGAATCATTAATAAAATTGATCGTTTCTTCGATTGTAAAAGAAAGTATTTGCATTATTGGCGCATTTTGTATAGATTATCAACGAAAATATTCAAAAGATAGAATAAACTTTGAAATCAACAATTAAATTACTAAATAAATCGCGATTTAAAATTCGCGAGAAAACGCGACGAATAAATAAATCGATATAATATATATAATCGATATAATCGATATAATATTCAGATCGATATAATATTCAGAATATTCCATTGCAGATACGTGAGTGACATACCGATAATCCGATAAAAAGAGGAGCGATCTTAAAAATGGAGAACGATTAATATCTTGTTTCTACATCAAATTTCGTAAGATCAATCTGCGATGAAAAGTTAAGTGATCCATTGAACCTCGGGAACTTCACTGTAGGCAAGAACGAATCCTGGATCTTCCGGACTATTTCCAATAACAATGATTTCAGTATTAAATCAAAGACAATTATCCCTCGTCATTATTTTCAATTTACGAAATTGATATTCACGTCAGAAAACATGTTCTTCCATTACTAAGAAATATATTTCTTTATTGAAAATTGAATGGATAATTACCAGCAAAAGAGCGTGAAATTTACGCTCATTTGGTAACGATCGTTCGATTTCACGATCATTAAATATTAAATGTAACTTTATTTTAACTCAAATAAAGCTACTAAATTACTACAAATTTCGTTCGATTTCACGATCATTAAATATTAAATGTAACTTTATTTTAACTCAAATAAAGCTACTAAATTACTACAAATTTCTGTATATTATATTTTCTAATTAATATGTAATATCAGATAATAAGTAATATCAGGTAATATTAATAACAGAAAGAGAGAGAGAGAGAGAGAGAGAGAAATTATAAAATTTATTTATATTAGAAATTTATTTAATATAAGCGAATGGACTAAAAAATGGTTTATCTTCAATGTGAGTTTAATATTATTGTTAAAGAATATAGAATAATAATATATAATTTCGCAATAGGCACAAAGCCAAACAAAACCCAGGTAGCACACGGTCGTTTTATATACGTTTCTTAAATGTATCTAATATTTTTTAACCATAAAGCATTAATAAGAAACGTTCCTATAGAAACGAATTTAAAACCATAGTTAAAAAAATGTATTTTTTACGTTTGTATAGACAAAATAAAAACTAATTTTTATTAATTTCAAATTAATTTTAACTTATATATACATATGTACATACATATACATATACATACATACATACAATATATATATATATATATATATATATATATATACATACATATATAATTATTATGAAAACTATATTAATTTCTATTTACAAATATATGAATAAGATCACTAAGAATCAGTATTTCATTGATCTCTAGTAGAAACGCTCCTTTTTTGTTACTTTATCTTATATCTTATTAATTATAGTCAGTGAAAGTAAAATTTTACCACAAAATCAGTAATCGCTTTCTAGTTCGTTTGTTTACCGCTACGACCGGCTATTTTTTTCGTACTTAAGTTTTAATCATGAGGATTATATAAAGCTTTCAAAAGACGACAGATAAAATTAAAAATATCACTTCGATTTAATTTTTGATAGAATCTTAATAGAGGAATTTCAGATATAAAATCGATTTTATAAGTCGGACATGTCCGGCGAATAAACAAAAATGATCTGTTCATTTGTATATTAAAGATGTGTAAAATAAATTATCATCTATTTAACATTCATGTTCTAATATGCATGTAAATATAAATAAAATTTTTAGTTTTATATGAAGTAGATAAATTAATATTACTAATTAAAACAATCAATGTTAATTTTTTTAGTAAAATATTATCGATTCACTGTGCTATAATAACTTATAACTGCATATCAACTATATCAGTAACTCTATTTACTGTTTTCAGTATACTGATTCATTTTTAGAGAATGTGTATGAATGCATTCTTTATTAATTCCGTAAAAACCAAATGTTTTACGAATAAAAGAAAAAAAATGTATTTTAAACGTATTTTAAACATTTTTTAAACATTTTTTTTATTAGAAAAAAAACGTATTTCTTAACGTTCTTCAAGTGGACATTTTAACAAATCAGAAACGTTTTCAAGAGTCGATTATAAAACGTTTCGAAGAAACATTTGTGAAACGTTTTTGAAACGAATATGTGCTACCTGGGAAAGACTACAATGCTGCATTCTGCAGTAATCTGGAGACACATGCCCCAAACAGTTCTATTCATTATACAAATCCACAACGTGCTTTGACATGAAAATGTCCCATTACATTCCATTGTTTTCGCGTCGAGGTAAAAGGAAATACCATGTATTATATATATAGAATGTCATATACTTAAAACTACCATACTTTCTCTTATTTCTAACAGATTCGTTAGAACATTTCAAGACGAAAATGAATAACTCTTTTGTACGGATATTAGAAAAATTCGATGGTTAATAATAATAAAAAGATCCCCCCTCTCTCTCTCTCCCTCCTCTCTCTCTCTCCTCTCTCCCGCCTCTCTCTCTCTTTCTCTCTTTCTCTCTTTCAAATAAAAAATCTTTTAAAACCTATAAATCAACGAAGTATTTGCTGTATTTGTACATAAAAGATAATGTTGTTTTTTCTTCTATTTGTATTGAAGAGGAAGATAAGATAAGAATAAAAAAAGATTGAAAATATAGATTTCAATGTTCCTATATTCGTAAACTAAAATTGGAAACTTTTATCATAGAATTTACTGTGCACAGCCAAGCTGCGAATACTTACTTATTAGTTTATTTCGACGGTTCCTTGTAATCCTCGCATATTGCGCGATGATTCATTTATTAGTTTCTTTAATTTTTCTTAAATAATTAATTATATAATAAAATATAAGAATAATAAAAATTAAAATGCAAGAAATTTTGATAAGATCATAATGCTAGTATGAAAAATGATCGCAGTACATATATAAATAACGGTCAAAAGAACAAACAATTCCATTAAATATAACATTTGAATAAGACCATTAGACCCATCATAAGACCAAAATCATTACCATAAGACCAAAATCATAAATCTTAAGAAATAACTGAAATAACTGAAAAGAAACTTTTTCCAAAGAATTATCATGCCTACTCCTCTGAATTTTTTGACCAATCAGGACGGAGTTGGATGTTCCTTTTATCCCTTACTGAAACCAAACGCTATGAGTCATTCCTACACAAAATGCATTCTTTAGTCTAAACTACGTTGACCGAGGTGCATGTTGTAGACGCTTTGGGACTGTGCTACAAGCAGGAGTAAAATTTATACGCTCACATTCGTGATACATATTAGTTATATATATATACAAATATATAAACGAAATTAGTGCGAAAGAAAATATAACATCGTTAATTTTTTGTAAATTCGTGAATTTTTCGTGAATTTTTTATGATGGCTACGATAAAACAGTTGCCCGATGAAATAATTACATTAATTTTGGAGGCCAAAGACATCAGCTTGGAGGATATCGAGAATTTTAAATCTACGTGCAATCGATTACAGCAGATAACATTTAGTCACAAATTTTGGGAAAAGAAATTTTATCAGAGGTACGTTTGTATTTATAAATCTTTTTTTAATAAATTTTTTTATATTTATCTCATATATTTGGTCGATTTTAATCGAACGAAGTTCATCCTCTGTAAAACAATAGTAAAAAGGTTAAAATTATTACGTTATTGTCTTATTAATCTATATTATGCCTATCTACTTTGTTGTATATTGAGCTATTGTATATATATCTTTTTAATATTTTAAAATTATTTCAATTATGTAATGAAAAAGATCTAGAAAAGATTTGTATAATAAATATAAAAATATAAAAGATAAAGCTAATGAAAGTGCTGTCATAATTTGTTATATTTTAATTTTAAAACTTTTAATAATGCAATTACTCATAAATGTTTTTATTTATCATAATATTCATAAAGATATTTCTTTTACATTTATTAGTTTCAAGAATATTTTATATATTTCAAGATTTATTTATATAATATTCTAGTTAATTTTCATAATATATAATATAAATATATATTCTGGAACTCATAATATATGACCGTATTTTATTCTTGAAATTTTCTATTCAAATTTTATGATTTTTATATGTATAAAGTACATGCAATCAAATTTGAAGATTGTATAAATTAAATATTATTTTATTCTAAATTTTCTATCAGTTTTTATTTTTACCTTAATGACATGTGTAAAGTCTAAATATCTCTACAATACAATTACAATAGTTATAAATATAATTTTCCACTTGATTTCTTATTCAAATATGATATAAAATAACAAATTTAAATGACGCGAGATTATCGCAACAAATGCATCTCGATACATTGTATTTATATGTGCAGATTACTATTTATTACTATTTATTACTATTGTAATCATTACAATTTGAATAAAAAAAAAGAGGAAAATTACCACATTTTTTTACCTTCCATTGGATTTCCAAAAAAAAATAATTTTTTCATATTGTATGATCATTAGAAATAAGCATCAGATGAAAAAAAAAATTCGAACTATAAGACTAATATTAATTATTGTATATCATTATAGCTTAGCTATCATCGCAGAGTAGGGGCTTAAATCTGAAAACAACTAATAGTAATTAATTTTATTTTTTATATATGTATATTCACCTATTTATTACGGTCACCTATGTTAAGAATAATAAAAAATTATTTTTTTTCATTATGAGTTGTATTTATCTTTATCTTGAAGATGATACCAAAATAGATAACGTCTAAGGACAGCTAAGCTATCATATTAACGTCATAGTATGTACGCTAAGGTGTCTTTTGATGTTATCTTGCTATCTGAAAATATCATCTTCAAGATAAAGATAAATACAGCTCATAATGAAAAAAAAATAATTTTTTATCATTCTTAATATATATATGTAAGTGACTATAATAAATATGATCATATATATAAAATACTATTAGTTGTTTCCAGATTTAAGTCCCTATAATGTCCCTTTACTTCAGATACAATTATAATGTTCATTACAGACCATAACGAGATTTTAAAAATTGTATAAATGTTACCCATGATCAATCTTGTTAGACAGAGGACGAAGAATTATCGAATTATATGTAATTATTATTAGAAAATCCTTAGAAGATAACTCAGTGATTACTATGTCCAAAAAACTTAAAATAAAAAATCTGAAAAACAAAATAAAAAGTTAATAAATTAAACAAAATAATAAAATTCTTTAATGATCATAGCCGGTAGAAACTTAAATCTCTAACTAATATTCCATACATACATATAATCACTATTTTTTATGGTTATATATCAAGAATAATAAAAAATTAATTTTTTCATTACAAACTGTTTTTATCTTTACCTTAAGGATAATATATATTATAATCTAAAATTATATATATTACATATATTATACATATTCATATATTAATATATGATAGCAGAGCATAATATATAAGCGATAATATTTTATTAGTCACTTATTAATCGTGAAAAAGACTTAGATATCATAGATATATTTAAACTAATATTTAATTTTGGCAACACGATACACTAGAAAAGAACGATTAAGAGCCACCGCGGATGGTAATGCGTAATTTTTCTTTTTTTTCTCTTTTTTTTTTAGAATAATTATTCGCGAAAATTAAAACACGACAATATGCATATATTTTACTTGGTGCATTTACCAAGATATAAATTCTCATTTTCAAGAATACTATAAAATCCCTCTTTACCTCCCTGAAGAGATGTAGACGAGAAAAATATCGGGGGGAATTTAATTTTGGTTTTATGGCTGGAATTTTTTTCTCATGATTATTTAGAATGGTTTTTATAATTTTCTAATGGTTATTTTTAACACTCTTTACGATCATACAATATCAAAAAAATTGTTTTTTGAAAATTCTGTGGGAAATAAAAAACGCGCTAAATGACTCTCCTCCTCTATATGTATTTCCTTTACATATATTTCTTAATTAAATAGAAAAATCTATAACATTATTAATTTCTTTAATTTTTTCTGAATATAAATGTGTGTGTGTGTGTATATATGTGTGTATGTGTGTGTGCGCGCGTATAATTAAAAATATATATGTTAAAAAATATATTGTCTATAATTTATTGCTGATATTTGTTGTTTAACATATTATTGGAAAATTTATTTTTTAATTTTAGATTCTCTTTTTTGAAAAGAAGGCAAACAGGACAGACTGACAAAGAGAAATTGAAGGAAATTATTAATCATTTAGAAAAAAGTGTAAAATGTAGAGAAAAATTGCAGTATTACGTATCATTAATATCTCACAATAATTTATACAAAAATACCAAAATAATGGAATTGAATAGTATTCTGCGTTCCATAGCTGGAGATTCTATAAGTTACCGTTTTGTATTGAATGAAATAAATAGAATGATTTCAACACAATCACTATTACGGTAAAATTTAATAAACCAAATTGCCGTTAACGTTATAAATTAAAGTAAATATATATTGTACAATTAATATGTAAATTTTTTTCAGGCACGATTCCAATTTAACAGTTATATATAATTTTGGCTTAATTTATCATTGGCTAAAACAGTATCGATTAATATACAAACAAAACATGTTTATATTCATGCCAACGGAAAAACTGCTTTTGGAAAAGCAAATTACAATCATCGCACAATATTTTCAACCTTACGTAACTTATTCAATCATTGATACATGGTTAAATGATATTGTGCAAGAAGTATTATCCCGTCTAAAAGATAAATATCCTAAACATTCTGTATTCTCGATTCCATCTGTGCAATTTACTTTTTGGAGAGAAAATAACATCGACGATAACTTCTGGAAACCAACAGAATTGAAACAAATTATGTATATTCTTGAAGAAATTATGTTTTCCGAATTAGGCGTTTATCAATTACATCAATTATTAGTAACATTAGATGTCAAAAATAAATATATAAATTATGTAAGTTATTTTATATTATATTAAATTATAATAATATTTTGTTATGCATTGCACAAACATAACTGTTTTATACCATACAAATGTTCAAGATAATTTTTCTAATAAAATTTAATGATACAGGTTCTAAAATATTTTCAAGGATGTCTTCTGCCTATTGCATATCATTGCATAGCTAGAAGACTTGGTTTACTCTGTTTTTTAAACTATAGACAGGATAAGAAGGATGATTTTATAATGGCAATCATATGGGAACCAAAATAGTTAGTATACAATTTTAACTTGAGAGCTTTTCAATCTATCTGAGATAAATATATGTATATATAATTATTTTTTAATTATTTTTAGTTATACAGTAGGTCATCATTTGGTAAACTATTTTTATATGAAGGATAAATCCTTACAATATCCGTTGAACATTGCTAGAAAGAATTGTTACTTTGCTCATCCACTGAATTCATTATATGATATATCGGTAAGCAGTTTATATATATATAGTTTTTTTATTAATTTTAATAAGAAATAATTGATGAAGATAATAATAAATTATAACTCTTGTAAATAATATACGTATTAGTCAATGAGTCAATATTTTATAAGCAATAAGTAAAGTTCCTTTTATTTCCTTTTTTATAAATGAAATATTTAATTGTTTATGTGTCTATTGTTTTTCAGCAAATACAAAAGATGATAGGTGCGTTTCCGCGTAATTTCTGTGAATTGATGAATCAATATGATATACTTCACAATTGGAAGGTCAATAACTTGATAAATTTTTCATGGCGATGTTTAAGAATTTTTATTGAGGATATAAATATCGAATATGAATACAGGAATTTTATAAATTTAATAAAGGTAGTATATATAATATATCGTTGTATATAATATACTATAATATATATGTATATGTATATGTACATGTATATGTATATGTATATGTATGCATGTGAGTAGTTTAGATGTCAATATATAATGATAACTATCTATATAATTTAAGTCACATTACAATAATTGCTTTTAAAAATACTTCAAAAAGTATTATTTAAATTTTATCATTATGATATTTGTTATATACAGGATACATCTAATATCTTAAGAAATCAAGAAATAAGAGAGAAAGAAATTAAATATACGATTGGCATGACCGTAACGCATTCACCGAAACCATATTTACCTTCGACTGAGAAATGTAATCCTCATACTGGTGTGATAATTGGGTGGAATTACAAATGTAAAGCTGCGTTCGTACAAAAAAAATTAAAATCTGTAGCTCCACATCTCAGCGAATGCTGTGAAACTCGGCATATGTGCTTCTGCAAATGTTATACTTGTAAATCGGACAATTCCAGCTTTATCTATCAACCGCACTATATAATTCTTGCAGAAAATAATATAGTATGTTATGCACCACAAGGTGTGTATAAGATATTATTAATAACATTCTCTCTTATAAATTATATATATTTTATATGATTTTTCATCTCTTTATACATCCACATAAATATATATAAAATATATTTTTTTTATTTTAGATACTGTGTCAAGATGTCCACCAAAATGGATAAATAATGTAGAGATAGGACGATATTTTTCTCATTTCGAAGGCACTCATTACGTACCAACTAAAAATTTGGCAAAAAATTATCCAACTGATATCGCTATTATGCACCAAGTACTTTCTGATCAGTAGTGTGTACAATAAAATTTATGATTTATAATATATGTATTTTAAAATACATAAATAATTTTTTAACTTTTTTCTATGATGATATTGTAGTATTATAGATATTATAAGATTTTAAAAGTGCAATGTATAATATATATTGTATTATGAAAAATAAAATATATTAAGAATATAATGGAACCTACATTTTCTCATGAAATATTCTTGTAGCTTATCTCGAGAGATTTCCAAAACACTATAATAAAATATTTTTTCATTGAGTACTTTTCGAGTTATGAGGGTTGAAATCATTTCTTAATTTTACATAAAATATCTAGTAAAATTCATTTTTCGATTATCTTACCTTAATGCTTTTAAGTACAAAATAATGAGAGGAATCAATTACAAAATAGTATTACTATTAATAAATAGATTGTATTCATACTGTCTTTTAATTTCTAATCATTTCCAATCATTATGCATTTCTATTATTTATTTCTATTATCTATTATTTTCTTCTTCGAGTTCTTGGATTATTATGGTTTATTGTACATTCCTTGGTGTTAAAATCATAGGGATTATCATCATTTGTCATGCTTATTCTTTCCTATGGAGTCCTTCGAAATATTTTCTATGGACATTTGTTCTCTTGAGTATAGATATTCAAATCACTCAGAGAGAGAGAGAGAGAGAGAGAGAGAGAGAGAGAAAGAGGAGGAGAAAGTTTGAGATATTCAAATCACTGTAGTTGTCTTTTTTCTATTTTCTCAATTACTGTCTCTTTTTCTTTCATTTTATTCAAAAATATTAATATAATTAAAAATAACATATATATATAATTTTGATATCTTTCTTAGTTTGACTCTTTTCCTTCGACTTATCCGATATAGGTAACCCTATCTAAGGCCGGCATTCATAATTCATTCTTATATTTAAGATCGTCTTAAGTAAGTTGGAAAATACAACTATTTCACTAACTGTTCGGAATCTCAAGACGCGATCTAAGATCATACTTAAGATTATTTTAAATATAAAAATAGTCTACATATATGAATATCGGCGTATTATACGTTACTGCCGGTATAGCTCTTAGGTTCATTAGAGTACTCAAACCTCATCCGGCAAATGCCTCTGTAAGGTGGAGATACGAGGAAAAAATTTTTTTTTAATTTTATTTTTATTTTCTTTCAATATAGGGTTTAATACAAAAGTGAATGTAAAATATAATTTGAAACTTAATACAAAATAATTTTTATTTATTACATGGAATAATTTAATACACGAAAATGTCTCTAAAATATACGTATAATATAAAATTTATTATAAAAATTTTTATATAGTCCAGACAAGCCCGATTAACGACGATTAATTATGCAACATTTATCATAAATAATTAATATGCGATAATAGAATTTAATAAGGGACTCTAAATACAGAATAATAATCTTTGTTCCAAGATATCGCAAAATATCGCAAAATATCGCATTGTAATTGAACCTATACTATCCCTAGATAATTAATATTACACTGCGCCTATAAATATCGCAAAATATCGCAGAAAGTTCTTGAAGCGCATATTTCATGTAATTTATTCATTTAATCAAGTAAGAATCATAGAAACAGAAATCTAAAATAATAAATTATAGTTTATCTAAGATTGATTTTTACAAGAAGAAATTATTACTTTAATGATATTTATAGAATAAAATATAATTCCCGCGATGCTTTATCTCGTTCTATTTTTCAATTATTTAAAATTTAATATTATTTAATTTAGAATCAAAACGCACAGCAAAACAATCGAATCATAAATCGAAATAATTAACATAATAAAAAGCTTTGCGATACATGAAATTAACAAATATTATTTAATTAATCCATGTAATTAGACATTAATTTAGACACTTTAACATTTCGTGTATATGTTAAAGTACGTAAAATATATCAGCAATGAACGGATAATAACACGGTCGGCCTTGGCGGTGTATGACGCGTTGTGTTTACAACGCGTCATACAACGCCGTACGGTCTTGATATCATTCACACGGCAACATTCGAAGAGTAAGGTGCGAAATACTTCGTATATTATTAAATTTTTTCTCTCACGATAAAACACAATTATGACTAGTATTAAAACATAATTCGCTATGATAATTATAATTAGTACTTGCTAAACTTTTAATTGTAATTACTATGCGATCGGGAATGCCGTGCAAAATGTCTCGCGATTTTTGTGTATACTAATTTTAATTAACTAATCATAATTAATCTTGTTTTCAGGAGTGAAAGTGAGTGCAACGAAAAAATAGCGAAGGAGAGGAAAAGCAAGTCTAAAAAGCACTGGGCCACGTACTAAGCAACATTATCCGGTAAATAGTTTATAAATTATTTATTATTTATATTTATCATTTATATTCAGATTATATATATATATATATATATATATATATATGTCATTTATATTCAGATCATATTATATATTGCATGTTTTCTCAATAACGATTTTCTCTCTTTTCCTCTCCCTTTCTCTCTCTCTCTCTCTCTCATTGTAAATTATCTCAATTATTCAAGTTTTTAAATTATATTAGTATAATATATATATAAAATATTCTGGATTATCTTATTTTAATATACTAAATATCTATAATATACTAAATACAGCAAAATAATCGAATCATAAATCGAAATAATTAACATAATAAAAAGCTTTGCGATACATGAAATTAACAAATATTATTTAATTAATCCATGTAATCTAAAACTTTTAGACACTTTAACATAATAACACTTTAATATATTTTAATATACTCAAATATCTATAATAAAATATTCTTATATTATTTAACACTTTTACATAAATAGTAATATTTCATAAACTGCTTCACAATAATATATTTAAATATTTTATGCATAAAGGATTCCACAATGAATAAATTGTTTAATAAATAATCAATTTTAATCAATCAATTAAAACACTTCTATAATTCAATATTCTACGCGTGTGTATTTTATAGTACATAAAATATTTCGACAACGAATTATCAATAAAATCATGACTTTGGCAACAATAATGCGTTGCTTATATATTACAGTTTTGTTATCATTTGCTCGGTGATATTCAAGCAATAAATAATGATACGAAACGTTTCGTATATTAATTAATTGTTTAAATAATAAATAATCATTTAATTAATCTATAAATATAAAAATTTCTACAATTTAATATTTTGCGTTACAATCAAACAACCAAACTTCAAATTTTTCTAAAATGTGAACATAAATTAATTATTAATTAAATGACTACTATCACAACTTTATTTATTATTTTAATATTTTCATTCTTATAATTCGTATATTATACAGCATATAATATGCGTATCAGTAGCATACGCATTGCTGTAGCAAGTAGCGAATGATTTTAATCTCGTGTAAAAGTCATGTTGCTCTTTTATCATTTAAATGCGTAAATAAGTTTCGTATGATTATTTTGTATGATTATTGAGAATCTCGTGCAAAGTGCGCCATTTTTTGATTAATTATAATTAAATCGTGTTTTCGTGAGTGAGTGAATGCCACAAAAAGAAATAACGAAAGAGAAGAAAGGAAGTTTGGAACGTAGTAAAATGAAGTAACATGAAGTAACGAAAGGGCCCGTGACAAATTGTTTAATAAATAATCAATTTTAATCCATAACTTAGAATGCTTCTATAATTTAATATTTCACGTTAATGTATATTTTATAATATATAAAATATTTCAGTAACGAATTATCGATAACACGATGTTCGATTTTGTCAATGTAAAATATAATCAGTAGCGCGCTATATTATGGCTTTGTCATTATTCGCACGGTGACTCTCGAGTAAAGTAGTGGTAAGAAACGCTTCATATACTGTAATTCTGTTACTAAACACGATTACGATTAGTATCGAAACATAATTTGCTATAAATATTGACAAAAATTAATTAATTAAAGATTAATTAACGACATGAAACTGTATCGCAACGATACAGTTAAATCTTTATCGAATCGTAATCATTCATTACCGCGATTAAAAATTAAAACAGAAAATACATAAAAAGGGATAGGAGAATTACACATAATCTTTCGATCATCGATGCTCATTATATTATTTCTTTAATAATATTAAACTTAAATATATTTCAATCAATGCTTTAAATTTTCTCAATTCTTGTTAATTAAACAATATAATTTAATTGAGAATCGATTAAATGATAGTAATCCAAGATATTAAATAATCATTTCGATGATTGCGATCTTTACGGATAATAATAATTATTTCAATACTTAGAGTCACAAATATATTTCATCCATGTTATTTTATCGTTCTTGAAAATCTAAATATAATCTGGATTGTGAGAGAACACGAACTAAAACAATTCAATTATACATGCAAATAATTAGTATAACAAAAGACTCCGTGAATTGCTAAATAAATAATCAATTTTAATCAATAAATTAAATTCTTTCATAATTTAATATTCCACGTTAATGTATATTTTATAATATATAAAATATTTTGGCAACGAATTATCGATAACACGATGTTTGATTTTGGCAATATAAAATATTGCCGCTTTGTCATCATTCGTACGGTGACTCTCGAGTAATAAAGTAGCGATAAGAATCGTCTTATATATTATAATTTTTTTACTAAACATGATTACAATTAGTATGGAAACATAATTTACTATAAATTTTAATAAAATTTAATTAACTAAAAATTAATTAGCGACATGAAACAGTATAACAACGATAAAGCTTTATCATTGCAATCATTGATTACCGCGATTAAAAATTGAAGCAGGTTATGCATAAAAGAGGATAAAAGATTATGTTGTGATATTTCGATCATCGATACTTATTACAATATTTCTCTATAATATTAGAATATAATATTAGAATTTAAAATATTTCGATTCGATGCTTTAAGTTTTCTCAATCTTTATAAATACAAAATTTAATCGAAAATCGATGAAATTATAGGGATTTAAAATATTAAATAATCACTT